GCTCCCAAAAGATTCCCACCATCTTGTAACCCACCATCAGGTCCACATTGACAAAGTGCATGCTCCCCAAGTGCAGAGATGACAGAGAAAGCAGCCCATATCCCTCTGCCTATATCCCCCACCAACCGAAAACTCCTGAAATGTGAAATAACCTTAGGACTTCACCTGAAATTAAAAAAAAATTAAAAACACCAAGTTGATACTCAAGATCTTTATTGATTTAACTAATAACAGCAACCATTGATGAAAATTTAATTTCTTCCCTAATTTCCAAACATCTGCTGGTTTGGAAGGATAGTTAAAATACAAAAACAACTGATCATGGAATCACACAGGACTGCCTCAAGGACTGCGTGGTGCCCTCTGCTATCCATCCACACACAGTGAAATGGATGAGAGGGATGAGGGGACAACACATCATGGGAGACAAAGGGAAGACCAAGGAAAGTGCTGGCAGTCTCCGCTTTTCCATACAGAATGGATGGTACTGGGCCATCAGTGGCACTAAGACAGGGCAGGGCTATTTTTTTTTAAATAAAATATTTTAAAGATGCATAAAATGGACACCTTAGCCTGTGAGTGTCCTTTGGGCTCTTCAAGACACCTTTAAGTTTTACCCCTGGAGTAGCAGAGGGTCTCCTCACCCAGGTAGAAAGAGATGGGCTCCATCTGCAGGTGAAGGAAAGGCACTGGCGCACGGCACTCAGCAATGTAGATACAGGCACCAGGTAAGGCAGGATGGCTTACCCAGCAACCCGCCTCTGGGCTCCCTGCTAGTGTTCTTCCCTCCTCCCCTGGTTTCCAGTTAAAAGTACCCTTGGCCTGGGCTTTTTTTTTTTTTCTTTAGATTAAGCTGGAGAGAAAGGGGATACATTTGGGCAAGAATGGATATTTTGTGCTAGATTCATGGAATTTTCTAAGTGTCCAGGAGTTTTGGTTTTAAGCACCAGCAAAAGCTCCCTTTGGAAATTTCAATGTGGCCAAATGATTATCAAGCATTGCAGCATCTCTCTGCACCCTTAGAAAGGTGGCAGAGTGAGAGTTTACCCTGGGAAATGTCTTCCATCTCAGTAATATTTCCATTGGGTATCCATGACATACGGTATGGTCTACCAGGGCTGCAGGCAGAGAGCCTTAAGCAAAGAGAAACCACAGACCCTCTGAATAGGGACTCACAAGCCTTCTCCTAAATCTAAGCTTTGCCAAAAGGTATCAACTTCCAGGACCAGCCTAGAGAAATAAATTTAAATTCCAGAGAGTGGGAAAGGTGATGTTAAATGATTAACTGAAAAAACAAATATGTATCAATAACACTTACAGTTTTCAGTTAGAAATGTCTGTAGGTCAGCCTCAAGAAACTCTACTAAACTGGAAAACCATGACTAAGAACAGGAAGTGGCCCTGGGTAGAAGCATTCTAGAGAATTGTGACCCAACTGCATCAATATCTGGTTTCATCTTTTATTGAAAGCTGAGAGCTTTGTAAAGAACTGTGGGGATAACTAAGTCCACCTCAAAGTCCAGACAGAAACTGCCCTCCCAAAGAAACGTTTCTTTAACACAAATACCACACCTTCCCAGATATTATGTGTAGGTAAGTGATTGGGTTTTGCAGATTAATCAATAGCTCCCCATGTGCATGTAGTCCAGAAAACATGCCTGCCAAGAAGGATAGCTCTGAACCGACAAGGAAAGGCCGTGTGGCTTCCTCTCTAAAGGGGAATGCAAAGGGCTAACAGCCCTGGCTTCAAGCAGCTGTTATCCAAGTGAGGAAAACGGAAACAGACTCAATCTCTGGGATATTGCTGCCAACAAGCTGAGCCCTTCACCAGTTGCCTTGATTTGAAGCAGGTGAGGGACTTTAACTGATGGTGTTTGAGCTGGAAAGGTAAGGTCTGAGAGTCCCAAAGAGCTGGAAACCCAAACGCAAAAAAAGAGAAGACCATGTATTTTGAATACACCTCAAAATAAGGAAGAAAAATGAAATTCATTTAAAGGTGCTCTAAAGATGAATTATTTACTTCTGGAAGAAGTATCCTTTTCTTATAGCTGCCTCAACAGCAATGCTTCCTATCCAAGTATACTCTCAAGCAAGCAGGGCTATAGATAAGAAAATGCTGGGAAGAGGCAGAACATAAATCCAAACAAGAATTTGCATCTTTGGCTGGGCACAGTGGCTCATGCCTGTAATCTCAGCACTTTGGGAAGCTGAGGTGAGTGGATCACCTGAGGTCAGGAGTTTGAGACCACCCTGGCCAACATGGTAAAACCCTGTTTCT